GCGCTGCCTTTGTATCTATTTTTTTTTCATCAGTTTATAATGGTCTTTATTATCCACAAATGAGTGAGATCATATGGTATTTTTCTCGGCTTCCCAGGGGCCGTCGCAGCCTCACAGGGGCCGTCGCAGCCTCACAGGAGCCATCGCAGCCTCACAGGGGCCATCGCAACCTCTCAGGGGGCGTCAGAGCCTCGCAGGGGCCGTCGCGGCCTCACGCAGCCTCGCAGGGGGCGCCGCATCCCACGTTGGGGGTGAAGGTGCGAGACAGAAGCTCCCTTTTACTATCTCTCCTGCTGCTCCCTTGCGTATCGCCGATGCTGTAAGTTTCTGAAAGCAGTCTGCAGGTGCTGGACATCATACTTTAACTGGTCAATACGAAGTTTGGCATCTGTCTTTTGTTGGGAGGCTCCTTGCTGGACAAAATCTCCAGGCATTCTTCCCGGCTGAGTATCTGGTATGCTTGCTTGGATTTCATTTTCTACTAAGTGCACAGACTGCTTGCTGCCGTGCCGGGTCCGGCTCTGGCTCCGGCTTCCTCCAAACCTGATTCTGCTTCTTGAGTGTGTCCCTTATGGATGCGAGGAGTTGAAATCTGCAGTTTGTTGGGTTAGGCTGCAAAAGCGCAGGTGGTTCCTTTTGTGCCAATGGCACAGCTTGGGTGGGGATGTAAATTGAGTAGGGCAGAGTCTCAGAGAATCACCAGGGCGGAGCAAACAGCAATGGTTGTCATCAGCGTCTCCTCGACTCCTCGACTCCTCGCCTCTCCGCGTCTCCGCATCCCCAAGTGCCGATGAGCAGCTCTGCAAGAAAGCCACCCTCGCTCTCCGACCCGCTGCAAGGCAGTCCTGCCTCTCCCCTTAGGGGTCTGGGACCTCAAAATCCCGCCCCAAACAAGCTCAGTGGATTCGAGAGCTTGTATCTCCTTCCGATTGAAAAAAACCACGCATCCAGTTGCAGCCTGCCTGGCGTGCAACTCCGTACCTCTGTTCTTGGTGCCTCTGCACCTCCTACTCAGTCTCAGTGTGCTTCTTTCTTTCCTTCCAGTTGTAGAACTTCCACTGGGCCAGCTTTCCCATGGTTCTGGATGATAGCTGTTTTGTCTTATAGTTGGTAGTTTCAATGTTGTTGTAGGAGACAGCACACACACCTTATGCCGCCATCTTGGTTCTCTCTGTATAAAGTGTGTTTTTTTAATATATTTTATTGTTGTTGTTTTTTTACAGAGACGAAGGAAGAGGGATAGAGAGTTAGAAACATCAATGAGAGAGAAACATTGATCAGCTGCCTCCTACACACCCCCTACTGGGGTTGTGCCCGCAACCAAGGTACATGCCCTTGACCGGAATTGAACCTGGGACCCT